AATGGCTTTGAAGAATTTCTTATGACTGACTGAGTTTAAGTTTTACGTCGCTTTTAGCAATATTCAAGCAACATCACGGCGGGGACACCAGAAATGGGCTTCATTGTTACTGTACCCAGGTGGAGATTCGAACCTGGGTCTTTGGCGTGACGAGCCAACGCTTTAACTGTTAGGTTACCCCACCGCCCCAATTTCATATGAAGTCTATCGGGAAGGTGGTGTTGCATAGTTTGATAATGAATATAAAAAACCCGCTATTTTTATGTATTAAGTATTTTATGATTACCATTGTTCGTTTGGTATATGTTATAGACGTAAGATGTAGTTTATATTGTTTGTATGTATGGCGGTAGTTCATATTGTACATATAGGGCATATGCACCCAATGTCTGTATCACCTGGTACTGGTCATTGTATATACATATACATCACTCGATTCAGTCTAGTGTCAATAGGCTGATTTGCTATGTTCCTGTACAAGGTGTTAATGGTTCACTGGTTTATTCAACCCATTGTGTGAAGCGTCCATAGAGCGCGTCATATCTCAATCTTCTATGTTCATGGTATACACAAGAGAAATTCAATCTTGTGTCCAAAGTACATATATATGCTACATTAATCCATGGGTAAGCAAAGTACATATATTTTTTACATTAAGTCATGTGTTCACAGTACATATATTTTACATTAAGTCATGTGTGTATGGTACATATATTTTACATTAAGTCATGTTATCATAGTACACATATTTTACATTAAGTCATGTGTTCATAGTACATATATTTTACATTAAGTCATGTGTGTATGTTACATATATTTTACATTAATCCATGTGTTCAAAGTACATATATTTTACATTAAGTCATGTGTTCATAGTACATATATTTTACATTAAATCATGTGTTCATAGTACATATATTTTACATTAAGTCATGTGTTCATAGTAAATATATTTTACATTAAGTCGTGTGTTCATAGTACATATATTTTACATTTAGTCATGAGTTCATAGTACATATTTTTTACATTAAGTCATGTGTGTATGGTACATATATTTTACACTAAGTCATGTGTGTATGGTACATATATTTTACATTAAGTCATGTGTTCACAGTACATATATTTTACATTAAGTCATGTGTTCATTGTACATTGTACATATATTTTACATAAAGGCATCTGTTCATAGTAGATATATTTTACATTTAGTAATGTGTTCATAGTACATATATTTTACATTCAGTCAAGTGTTCATAGTACATATATTTTACATTAAGTCATGTGTGTATGGTACATATATTTTACAGTAAGTCATGTGTGTATGGTACATATATTTTACATTAAGTCATGTGTTCACAGTACATATATTTTACATTAAGTCATGTGTTCATTGTACATTGTACATATATTTTACATAAAGGCATCTGTTCATAGTAGATATATTTTACATTTAGTAATGTGTTCATAGTACATATATTTTACATTCAGTCAAGTGTTCATAGTACATATATTTTACATTAAGTCATGTGTTCATAATACATATATTTTACATTAAGTCATGTGTTCATAGTACATATATTTTACATTAAGTCATGTGTTCATTGTACATATATTTTACATAAAGGCATCTGTTCATAGTACATATATTTAACATTTAGTCATGTCTTCATAGTACATATATTTTACATTTAGTCATGTGTGTATGGTACATATATTTTACATTAAGTCATTTGTTCATGGTACATATATTTTACATTGTGTCATGTGTTCAAAGTGCATATATTTTACATTAAGTCATGTGTGTATGGTACATATATTTTACATTAAGTCATGTGTGTTTGGTACATATATTTTACATTAAGTCATGTGTTCATAGTACATATATATTACATTAAGTTATGTGTTCATAGTACATATATTTTACATTAAGTCATGTGTTATTTTTCAACTTTATAAGCTGAATTTGCATTTTTGACGATTTGTTTCGCGATGTCCATACCGAAAGGTATCAGAATCTACAAAGTTGTGTTTTACGTTGCATGTGACCTTTAAGTCATGTGTTCATACTACATATATGTTACATTAAGTTATGTGTTCATAGTACATATATTTTACATTGTGTCATGTGTTTATGGTACATATATTTTACACTAACTCATGTGTTCATAGTACATACATTCTATATTAAGTCATGTGAGTATGGTACATATATTTTACATTAAGTCATGTGTGTATGGTACATATATTTTACATTAAGTCATGTGTTCATACTACATATATGTTACATTAAGTTATGTGTTCATAGTACATATATTTTACATTGTGTCATGTGTGTATGGTACATATATTTTACATTAAGTCATGTGTGTATGGTACATATATTTTACATTAAGTCATGTGTTCATAGTACATATATTTTACATTAAGTCATGTGTGTATGGTACATATATTTTACATTAAGTCATTTGTTCAAAGTACATATATTTTACATTAAGTCATGTGTGTATGGTACATATATTTTACATTAAGTCATGTGTTCATCCTACATATATGTTACATTAAGTTATGTGTTCATAGTACATATATTTTACATTGTGTCATGTGTTTATGGTACATATATTTTACACTAACTCATGTGTTCATAGTACATACATTCTATATTAAGTCATGTGAGTATGGTACATATATTTTACATTAAGTCATGTGTTCATAGTACATATATTTTACATTAAGTCTTGTGTGTATGGTACATATATTTTACATTAAATCATTTGTTCAAAGTACATATATTTTACATTAAGTCATGTGTGTACGGTACATATATTTTACATTTAGTCATGTGTTCATACTACATATATGTTACATTAAGTTATGTGTTCATAGTACATATATTTTACATTGTGTCATGTGTTTATGGTACATATATTTTACACTAACTCATGTGTTCATAGTACATACATTCTATATTAAGTCATGTGTGGTATGAATATGTATTAACAGTCATTCGTTCATGGCACCTGTATGCTTTATTCGATATAGTGTTTATTGAGCATGTGTGTACTATACAATATAGTGTTCAAGGTGCAAATATGTTATATTCAGTCTAGTGTTCATAGCACATATATGATATTTGGTCTCGTGTTCATAGTACATGTAAGGTGAATTCAATCTATAGTGTTCACGGGACAAACCCCATTTATTCCGTCTAGTGTTCATGGAACGTATATGTTACATTTAGTCTGATGTTACATGTTATGTTTAGTCTAGTATTTTCAGTACATATAGAATATATTCGGTGTAGTGTTCATGGAACATATATGTTACATTTAGTCTGATGTTATATATTATGTTCAGTCTAGTATTTTCAGTACATATAGAATATATTCGCTCTAGTGTTCATTGAACATATATGTTACATTTAGTCTGATGTTACATGTTATGTTTAGTCTAGTATTTTCAGTACATATAGAATATATTCGGTGTAGTGTTCATGGAACATATATGTTACATTTAGTCTGATGTTATATATTATGTTCAGTCTAGTATTTTCAGTACATATATAATATATTCGGTGTAGTGTTCATGGAACATATATGTTACATTTAGTCTGATGTCATATATTATGTTTAGTCTAGTATTTTCAGTACATATAGAATATATTCGGTGTAGTGTTCATGGAACATATATGTTACATTTAGTCTGATGTTATATATTATGTTCAGTCTAGTATTTTCAGTACATATAGAATATATTCGGTGTAGTGTTCATGGAACATATATGTTACATTTAGTCTGATGTTATATATTATGTTCAGTCTAGTATTTTCAGTACATATATAATATATTCGGTGTAGTGGTCATTGAACATATATGTTACATTTAGTCTGATGTTATATATTATGTTCAGTCTAGTATTTTCAGTACATATATAATATATTCGGTGTAGTGTTCATTGAACATATATGTTACATTTAGTCTGATGTTACATGATATGTTAAGTCTAGTATTTTCAGTATATATAGAATATATTCGGTGTAGTGTTCATTGAACATATATGTTACATTTAGTCTGATGTCATATATTATGTTCAGTCTAGTATTTTCAGTACATATATATTATATTCGGTCTAGTGTTCATTGAACATATATGTTACATTTAGTCTGATGTTATATGTTATGTTCAGTCTAGTATTTTCAGTACATATATAATATATTCGGTCTGGTGTTCATTGAACATATATGTTACATTTATTTTGATGTTATATACTATGTCCAGTCTAGTATTTTCAGTACATAATTTATATATTCGGTCTAGTGTTCACGATGACAAATGCGTTACATTCAGTCTCGTGTTCATTGTCCATGTATGTTCATGGTCGCTATATGTCTGAAACAAATCCGATGCAACGTTAACTTTTAATTCACTAACTTGTATTGTTTCATACCATGTACATGGTCCACACGTTGACATTTACATGTCGTCATGTCTTACGACACGTTGCCCACCGGCGACACAAATTTGAGTGAGTGAGTTGGGTTTTACGCCGCTTTTAGCAATATTCCAGCAATATCACGGCGGGGAACAGCAGAAATGGGCTTCACACATTGTACCCATGTGGGGAATCGAACTCGGGTCTTCGGCGTGACGAACGAACGCTTTAACCACCAGGCTACCCCACCGCCCTACACAAATTTGAAATCATTATCATAACTGCCAACATTAAAAGTAGTTCCATTTTTATTAATTTCTCAATTACTAGAAATATTTCCACCCCAAATCAACAAAGGACACCCAGCTCACCATCCCTCTAAACATAATGGCGCCTTTAAACTAAAGACCGACGTAAAAGAGTCAAAGAAATGTTTCAACGAGTTCTCCTGTCTTATATAATTCGAACGCCTTAATAGCTACTTCCTCATCCCCTGAGACACAATGGAACAGTCTATGCATCCGTTCCACGTGCATTCCATGCAGTCTCACGTGCAAGCGCGTTGCTATGAATGGCGGCACATGGGCTCGAGGTCATGAATGGCGTATCAACATTGATTTATTAGAGTTTGCACCTCAAATATGTTTTCAGGGCATGCTTAACCTGTCTTATTGAAAAGTACACTTTCTCCAATGAGAGGTAAGAATGTATAATTTAATCCTTTCATTCAGTTTTGACGTTTGCTCATTGCTGCCTGGAGCAAAAGGGATTTGTTAGAAACCCAGCAAAGACTGAATCTCGTTCATATGGTTCATGTTGATCGGTAAGAGGCGACTAACGGGATCGGGTGGTCAGGCTCGCTGGCTTGGTTGATGATTACGTCATCGGTTCCCAGTTGCGCAGATCGATGCTCATGCTTTTGCTCACCGGATTGTCTGGTCCAGACTCGATTATTTACAGACCGCCGCCATATGATACAGCTGGAATACTGCTGAGTGTGGCGTAAAACTAGAATTACGAATTTGATCCAGTTCCTCAATAGTTTAGGTCCACGCGTATTTGACGGCAGGTGTTACCGCGTAAGAACGTTACACAATGTCACCATCTGGCAACGGGGACCAGAAAGAACTCGGTACGTCTCCATGTTGCTATATAATAACATGTAAGCTGCGTTTATCGTATCAACATTATGAATGTGTAAACTGTACGAACAAACACTTATATTAAGCGACGAGAAGATAATAATAATTCATAATAATTCATAATAATAATTCATTTATATAGTGCCTAGTATCCATCTGACTAGTTGCTCACTGGACGCTGTAATCAGAATCTGATTATTATTATTACCCCGGATAACCCAAGCTGCCTGTGGGGCCCATGAAGGTTAATAGTCACATGACTTATCTCACCGGGTACCCATTTTCTGCTGGGTGAACAGAGGCAATTTTTGAATTGCCTAAGGTGAGACCACATGTATCACATGTGCTTCGAAGTGGGGCAGGACCGAATTCCTAGAAACTCTCAGGAGTCAAGCTGTCGAACACGGTCACCCATCCAAGACCTCTCCGCGCTCAACTGATTTGTGACCTGAGCTCAGGACCACACCAAGATTGGTGGTTATACGGTCACCATGGGTGCAAAGATGTGTCCTTTTGGACCTTTGGACAGTGATATTGTGATGAAACGCCTATGTATATATATTCCTGGATGGGAGAGTATGAAACTGAACTGTATGTAAGCAGCGAACGAACCCGGAAGATCCGGGTTAGAATTGGTCCTAGCAAACCAAACCCGGAAGATCCGGGTTAGAATTGGTCCTAAGCAACCCATGCTTGTAAGAGACAACTAACGGGATCGGTGGTCAGACTCGCTGACTTGGTTGACACATGTCATCGTATCCCAATAGCATAGGTCCATGCTCGTGCTGTTGATCACTAGATTGTCTGATCCAGGTTCGATTACTTTACAGTCCGCCGTCATATAGCTGGAATATTCCTGTGTGCTGTGTTAAACAATAAACACACATTCTCTATAATTCGGGTCATCTATCTTCATTCTGTTTTGTAGTACCATAGACCCCTTTACCATCATAGCTATATTTTGAGCCCGATTCTGGGGGCGCTGAAGCAGATGCCCTATCCTAAGCGATAAACAGTATGTGCTTAATTAGAGCTCGGAGTCATTGCGCGGCGATGGTGGGCTAGTCCTGGGAATTCATAACATGTTAGAATACTGATATGGGATGGGAGATAGACTAACACTTAGTCTCTGAATATTCTCATTTTGTCTGAAACACTGATCAAAAAGGAGCTCTAGTGAGATGGGAGAATCAGAACCTTGGCCTGAGAAAAATCTAAACTTGCTTCATTTAGGGCTTTTGTATGACTGAAAGGGCTGGGCGGAAGGGTAAAATAATGTGAGTAGTAGGAAAGTAATCCGTTCAGCACAGACAATAGCATTCCTAAGAGAACAAAAGCATTCCAGAGCATAACAATAGCATTCCAGAGCATAACAATAGCATTCCAGAGCAGTAATCCTCAATCGATTGAGGATTAATCCTCCCTATGAGCACAATGCATTCCAGAACACAATAGCATTCCTGAGCACACCTCCCTATGAGCACAATAGCATTCCTGAGCACAACAATAGACATTCCAGAGTATTCATACTCAAGGCATTCAATCTATTGACGTTGTAACGAATAAACATTCCAGAGGAGAGTCAAAGCATTCAATAGAATACAATAACATTCCAGAAGACATGAATAAGCATTCCACAGGGCATTAAAGCTTCTTAAGCATTCAATCTATTGATGTCACGGGTGAACAAACATTCCACGAGTAGAATAAAGCATTCCACAGAATACATTAAACATTCCATAGCTCTCTGAAAATCATTTCAACCCTGGCGAACGAACATTCCTCAGTTAGAATAAAATATTCCACTGATGTAGAGTATTAACTAACCAAACTGCATGTGTAAATTCACTCTCACATCCAATCAGTGCTTACATGCTCTACACAATCCCACCATATACCTTTTAGTATTAGACATTTCAAATCAGTTTCATCGTCATTATCGAGTGAACAAGTTTCAGAAACACACCTCTGCTTGCAATTCATATGGCACAGAAGATGTTTCACCTTCAACATGTGGACTTTTCAACAGACCAGCTGCTCTCGAAAGCACGCTTCAAGAAAATGAAGGATATTCTTAACACTCAGCTTCATTTGCACCTAAACGATGATGCTTAACAAGAGTTGTATAAAACCACATACACAGAGATGTTCCAGAGAATGAAGACTCTAGAACAGAAATTCCCTCGCTATCGCCAGCTCTCATGAGCTTGATGTTGGATTATTCAAAAATCTCTGCCACCACTCAGGATAGTAATTCAAGTAACAGAAAACGTCAGTCACCCAACAAGCGTGTTAAGCTAAAGCTAAGAAGCCAAGGAAAGTGAAGGAACAGAAAAAGTGGCCAGAAGCAGAAGTCTCAAAGAAGAAATCCACTCCTCCTATACAACCAAAGTAAGCAAATAGTTTATCATTTGGAATAGCTTTTCATTTACGTACATGTTACTGTGTTTGCAGTTCTACATTCTCCAATCTTATTTGTCATTTTCAGGAACCTGGGAGAAGATACTGAAGCAGTGTCAACTCCATCCCTCACAACCCGACCCATAACACCTACCACAGAACTCTACTATAGACGACTGGTGGTTGGATTACACTCATATCTCATGGAGGACATAGAACAGCAAGAGAAACAAACCACAGACATAACAGCTGTTGATTCATCCAGTGGAATCATGGAGATCTCTATCAGGAAGAGAAACTTACTCCTCTTCAGAAAAGTTGCAGTGTATGTCGCCACAACAATAAGTTGCGTTACATCAGTTGTAATAGTGGACAAATTCAGTGTCATGTGTGTTGTATGGATCTCATGAACTGTATGTGCTACTATGATGAAGGCGCATGATGAAAGACATGGTATCGCAGGACTTTGAAGGTCATATCCTATCAGTGTAAATACAGAAGTGCTTTCATCATGCTCTGTAACATGGCTGTTATCATTATGCATCGTAACAAACTTTAGTGAATGTTCAAATAAAATGAATAAACCCATGCTGTTTCATGTTATATATTGCTTAGTCAGTCACAGTTTCGAAAGTGCAACATGAGTTCGGAAAAGAAGAGCAGCATGTTAAAGCAAGAAAAGCCATAGAAAAGTATTATTTCAATGCTGAAAATCCTGGAGCTTATTTTTTGGTCCAACAAAACTACGTGATGAATTGAAGAAAAACAGACAACATCATATCAGGTTGAGGAATGTGAAACGATTTGTGAAGAATCAAGATGCCTATAGTTTACATAGACCAGTCAAGCATAGATTTAAAAGGTTAAAAGTAAGGGTGAATTTTATGAATGAAATGTTTGATGTGGATCTGGCCTAACCTCTCAAGTTATAGCAAAGAGAATGATGGTATCAGATATTTGCTGGTGGCTATTGATATCTTGAGCAGATATGCTTTTGTGCTACCTTTAGAAAACAAGAAACCTGAATCGGTGTTGAAAGCCTTCAAAGAAATACTGAAAACTAGACAACCAAAGAAGGTTCGCACAGATGCTGGATCAGAATTTCGAGCAGGCTTTGAGTCATATTTGAAAAAGAAAAACATCACTCACACCATTACACGGAATGAAAACATTAAAAGTAATTACGTAGAACGCTTCAACAGAACGCTAAAATCACTGATTACGCTGCTACATGACTCCTACAACAATACCAAACATTACATCGACAGTTTTACCTAAACTAGTGCACAACTACAATCATACATTGCATTCCTCCCTACCGAATTTATCACCTGCACAAGTGAGTAAGGACAATGAATTGAAAGTTTGGCAGCATCTGTATGTCAAACCTTTGTTGAAACATCTCAAAAGTCTGCACCCTAGAAGAAATTCAGATATAAAGTAGGAGATCTTGTTCTAGATTCCATATCTGAAGAGACCTTCAACACAGAACTTGACTTGAAGTGACACAAGAACTGTTCAAAATAGCTCATCGCTTTAAAAGACAGGAAATTCCACTGTACAAACTCAAAGATTTTCATGATGAAATGATCAAAGGTACTTTTATACTGGTGAATTGCAGAAGGTCAATAAAGGAGAGAGGATATTGAGTGGCAGGTGGAAAAGATCTTAAAGAAGAAACGTGATGAATGGAAAGACTTATGCTTTGGTTCGATGGTTAGGTTGGCCCAAATCCTTTGATTCTTATGTGGAGGAAAGTCAATTGAAAAATTTGTAATGGAGAAATATGTGTTTTCTGAAGTGTACAGACTCAAAGAAAGATTACTTCAAAGGAACACCCCGCACCATTTTCGTGTGAAACTGAATCAAAGATTGATGTTTAATGGCTTCTGGATAGTCAGCTTGACAGAATTAAACTTTGGAAAGGTAGATCTCACTCATATGAATGACCCTATGTAGATGTGTTGTGTAACTTATGTGATAGTTCATTGGTAGGACACACTCAATTACCATTGTTGAGACGCTTAGACCTGAGGGAGGGGCCTAACTTTTAAATTTGCTAATGAATACAATATCCATGTGATGGTGAAAGAATCTCCAGACATTGGAATTAGTATAAAGCAAGTGATGGAACTCCACTATCATTCTTGAAAGAAG